ATATCTTCTTTGTGAACAGGCCACGTTTCCGAACCATAAAGCAAGATGGAACGAACACAGGCATTATATACCCTTCCTTTCAGCGACAACCGGACGTCTTTTCGACGCCACAGATGACGCAGTACCTATTAGTAAAATAAAATTTCCGATTAATAATCGGGGATTTTGTTTTATGTAGATTGAACGTCAGTCAAAATTGTTTGCATCTTTTGCATCACCATGAACTTTTCCGTCAGCCTTTGTCGAAACGAACAACTACACTCAAGTTTTGCTTTTGTTGGAATTTGTCAGTAATGCTTATACGCTCAACTTCCTAATAAGTCGCACCCCTAGGACACTCAGAAATGTGCCATATTTATGGAGGTGCTACTTTTGACGGTAACTATTCTTGGGATCATTCGTGAGCAGTGTATTTTTTAATGAACCAAATAAATTTTTAATTCCACTAAAGCATTATTGTATCGATACCTTGAAGTATGGGAACGACTGAGAAGTTCGTACTGTTAAGATGGTCAAGCAGGTCGTTTTTCTCTGACGCTTTCAGTAACGTCTCTTTCTAGAATCTCCTACGTCAGTGTTGAGATCAGCGGCTGCCCCTGCTACAGTACCTTATGATCAGGTTCATGGCTGTTATGATGATAATGTTTTCGTTTGTGTTCCTAATGCAAAAGCCGGCCATCAGTCGTGTTATTAAAAGGCAATGTTTGCCCAAAGTACGCTTAACAATTACTTGTCAAGGTGTTAGTCACACAATTGCGTAGAATCAAAATAGTACTTGACGTGATGTACGGAGTTAGTGCCTAACCAAAGTATGTGGAGAAATATGTACATTCCAGGCTAGGTTTGTTAGTGCCCCTGATCTTCAGACGTGTTTCCTAACCTAATCCTAAAATCTTGGACAATGTAATGTGATATATTTTACAACGTTAGAGTGACTGTCAAAAGTATACCCCAGAACGGCCACGTGTATCATTATTTTTTTAATGCCATAGCCAACCATCAGTCATATGGCGAGCACAACTCAATCGAAGAATTTGTGACTGACGGAATGGCGAAGGTAACTAGCTTCTTGCCGAGGGTAATCGAGAAATTTTCTTTGAACCAGCCGTCAACTCCAGTGCCCTCCTCGCCGGTGCCAGAAATGTTTGTCTTTGGAATGTCATACTCGCGATAGGGGAGTATGGTAAAGCTATGCGTCTACCGGCTTGCTCTCGCCAATCGCGGAATTGTTGCTCTTTATGTCCTTTTAGGCGGAGCCTCGGATATCGTTCCGAGTAGCAAGCTAATGGACACAGAAGTCCCTAATGCAAATTTCCGAAACCTCCACTTAATTTCGGATTCACCCACGCGCCCGATACAATGACGGCAGTAATTCCAAGGTAGGTGACATCAACCAGGTAGGAGAGATACCCTCATCATCTCACTGACAGAACGTGCTAGGGTAAATCCGCTGAGGAACAAGACACGAATAATGGAACAATTGGTTATTGGAGTGTCCAGTGTAAACATCAACCGTGAGTTCTTACTACATTCCAACCATGTTTAACAAGAACTTGAGGAGGGTCGATGCTACCTGAGAGATACCGGATGCACCGTGGGTTGTGGTACGAAACGAAAGACATCCCTTTTTTAACATTCGGACGTGGCAGCTTGGCCAAGTACAGTGCCACCGAGGTCTTCGTGGAGCAGCCCCCTTCCACTTTCGTTCACGATAAGGAGATGGAACACGTCACCATGGTTGGGACAGTCGGCGATATGTTCCGCATCGGCGGCAGAGTTATGCAACCTCAGACGAGCGAAACTGTAACGGTATAGATATCCCAACAACAACCAGTGCAAGTCTATCTTTGGTTGTTGTTACAAATTAAGGATGCCACCACCGTGGGGATCCTAGATACGGGGACATCTTTCTGTTTGATTAGACCAGACGTGGTTAGACGACCCGGTTGCCACATGTCAAAGCCTTATGTTTAAAAGCTAAGCGCGGCTGATGGTTCTTCTAAGACTACTCTAGGGTCAGTGGCACCTGTGGTGAGGGTAGCCAACCAGACACTTCAGCATAGGTTTGCGGTTGTTCCAAAATTCTCAATTAGCTGCATAGTTGGGATTGATCGCTTGAGTCGTATTGAGTGCTGCGTAGACCTTATAAAACGTCAGCTGGCCGCACCGTCTTGTATGGTGCTTCTCAGACCCCTGCGTGACCACTGCGGACCAGATTTTACGTTGTATGTTGCCCCGGAGGTTAGTGGGGCACTGATCGAAGAGTGCCTCAAGATAATGAGGTGCTACAACTATGCCAAATCGCAGCTAGACTGAGGAAAGAAATTCTTGGTTACCGTGATGCGTTCGTCTGGGATAAAAACAAGATGGAACGAACAAACGTACTGAAACACAACTCTCCCCCTAAGAAAGCACTGCATTACATAATCCCCTTAAACTTATGATGAAAGATGACTAAAGTGATTGACGAAATGCTTTAGAAAAATGCGATCCGACCGTCAAACTCTCCATAAGCTTCTATTATTGTGGTGGTAAAAAAAGAAGAACGTAAGCGTGTGATTATGTGTTGATTATAGCAGGTTGAAAAGAGTCACGGTTAAAGACGCGTTCTCATTACCCCGTACCAATGATCTGTTTCACGGCGTGGGGGAGTTCTGTATGTTTTAGCACGCTGGATATAGCCTCTGGCTATGGGCAAGTAGAAGTTGAGGGGTCAGACCTGTTTCGTGATACCACTGGGCTATTGGGTTGTCAAATGCCTCGGCCACTTCTCAGCGTTTGATGTAGCGGATGCTGAATGATCACATTTAGTGTCGGTGTCTCGTCTATTTGGATGACATCCTGCGCGGGAAAACAAACGAGTAACGTCTGCAAAACCCGCCCAGCATTTTTGAAAGATTAGCGCAATTGTGATATGATACCCAACCTCGCTAAGTGTCACCTGATACAGAAATAGACAACATATCCGAGGCATCTGGTTCCCAGCGACGGCAGTCGAACCGATCCGAAGACAGTTGAGCAAATTTTGTCCTGTTCTACCCCACAAAACGTCGGAGAGATGCGTGTTTTCTGGATCTGCCACTCATACTACAAGAGATATATACCGGGGTTTGCACCTATCGTCGGCCCATTTCAAGCCCTGCTGGAGAGGAACCGGGAGTTTGAATGGTCCACTGGATGCGAAGCAGTATTCAAGACACCACGGTATTCGTTGTATTCCACATCCTTCATAGAGTTGCCGGGCTCATCGCCTTGAGATGGTGAATACATTCTGGATACTTGTTACGGACGCGTTCCCGTTGTTGCAGATAGTCGATGTGCTTTTGTCCTAGCGCT